ACGGAATGTCGTTTTTTTTAGGCGAGAATGTACTTGTTTAGACTTCAAATATGTGGTTTGTTAATAAAGATAAACGTCTATTTGAAAATTTGCTTCGACGTTTTGGGAGATGTGAGCTCCAGGGCGTCAACGGCCGTTCAGCGCTCATGAACCTGCAGAGAGCAGCCTCACCTCGGCCAGATCTTCTGGAAATCACAGCTGGCTCTGATGTCTCTATAGTGGTTAAACATGAGATATAATTCATTTGGGGTAATTCTAACGGGCAGTCTTTGGTCTCATTAATTTTTATTTGTTCCAGAGCAAATAGTTTTAGCTGAGGGCAAAATCTCATCACATTATATTTTATGTAATTTTAATGCTTTATATCAGAGCGCTGCCTTTGTACTTTTGACTGAATTGTCTAGCAACTTTTATTATGGCTGTTGTTGTTTATTATTCAATAAATACTATTTTATATTCATAGTAGTATTTAGTATTGAGAAATAGTGTGTGTGTGTGTGTTCGTGATGGTGATTTTTGTGACATTGTTCCGCCATTAGATAGCGACAAGAGACTGTTTTACGAGTCAGCAGTAAAGACTTCTTACTGACGAGATGCGCATGACAATCACATTCGATTAATCGTGCAGCCCTAGACTATTTGTAGTAGAAGAACAAAAGTTCTGTTCTGATTATAAAATGTGTTTTTGTGCTTGTGTTTCGTTTGGTTAACAACACCAGTGTTATTTTAGTATAATTGAGATACTATAAAAGTTGATGTTTTTAGTTAGGTTTTCCATTTTAATTTGAGTAAATTGTGTGTTTTTGTCATTTTTTTAAAGTTTGTTTATATATATATATATACATACACTTTTAATAACAGCTTGTAAGACGCAGTTAACAAATGCACTGAGCAGCACTGTCATCGGAAATCACCCTTAACAGATGAAAGGACAGTACGATAAAGATATCGCTTTCCTCAGCGGACATTCAGACTAATGTTTTATTGTGAATATGAGACTGAGCTGAAGAATGAATGCTGCATCAGATGCAGGTAATCACACTCGCTCAGTCCATCTCTCTCATAATACTCTTCATAATACAGTGAGCTTTTAATACAGTAATACAATAAGCTTTTAATGAAGCAACCCAACGTTCCTTCATTACTAGTTCTAAAGTAACATTCTGAATTAGTAACTGATCTTGAGCTCAGCTGTTAAATTATCAAACTGAGATTTGAATCTGTGGCGGAAGGAAGTAGTTCTGCACAAAAGGGTTTTTAAAGACACTCTGTTGTTGTTTTTCTTATATATTTACACACTCGTGCCGTCGAACTGTTGTATAAACACAACATCACACTCGTAGACATGAGATATGGCTGATTATCAGCACGCTGTGATTACCTACGGCATGTATACATTTTCTTTTTTTAGTTTAGTTTTTTACTTTAGTACTTCAAAGTAAACTAAGTGAAAATGATAAATGAAAATATAAAATATATTAAAACTTTTTTTATTTCAGCTAGTTGAATATTAGTCAATTAATAAATAAAATTTATATAGACATTAAAAAAACTTGATGACAAAAAAATAAAAGCAAAATTACTAAAACTAACTCAAATTAAAATAAAAATGGAAAATATAAAAATAAAAACTAATTCAAAATATAACACTGTTGTTATTTTATTACAAACAAAATAACCAAATTATTAGCAAAAAAATAACAATTTCAACTATAATGAAACCCCTTTTTTTTTTTTTTTTTTCATTTTAAGTGACGAGAATGTTTTTATGGTTTTGGGTTGCGCTAATAACCCTGGTTTACTCTCCGTGGTTCAGGGCGGAGTGAAGGTGTTGATCACAGGCCCGTGGTCAGAGACAGACAGCCGATACTCGTGTGTCTTTGACCAGAGCAGAGTTCCTGCTTCTCTCATTCAGCCGGGAGTCCTGCGCTGTTACTGTCCTGGTGAGCACACACACACACTCACACGCACAGACACACACACACTCACACGCAC